CCTGGCTGGGATCATTTCAGCCCAGTTTTTCTCCTGCCCAGGCAGGGGGTAGGATTTGAAGATCTACAAGGTCCCTTCCGACCCTACTTCTATGATTTTATGGCAACAGAAGTGTTTGCTCAGACCACGTGAAGCCGAGCACATAAGTGGCCATCAGGCACTAACTGCTGTATTCCTCTGCAAAACTGCGCGCATGCTTTGGGAAGGCAAGCTGATGCTTTTGGCTGACACTGTGGAAAGTCAGCACCTACCCTGCCGAGCTCCCTAACCGGACTGCTACGCAGCAGGCCGGCAGGGAACAGTGTAGGAAGGGGACTCCTGTCGTGGGAAAGGGACTCCTGTCCAATTCGACAGTGCAACAAGGCTGAGGAACGCTCAGCCTCATGCATGGCTGCCCTGAATGCCACCAGCCTGTTTTCACTGCCCTAATCCCTCCACACAGCTCACCTTTGATTATCACGCAGAACAACCTTATTCCCAGCACTGCCCCCATTGCACCTGTTTGCTTTAGCTCCCAGTTGCCTCACAGCAAATCTGTAGGGCAAAGGCTGCCTCTTTTTCTGCTTGCCTTGCAGCATCTGGCACGGCGACTGCAGGGACCCAGCAGGATCAACTCACCGGGTCAAGATACTGCGGGATCAGCTTGGCAATGAGGTTTGCCGTGTGCTCGCTTAACTCCGATGGCTTAATCACCACAGCATTTCCTAGGACACAAAATCAGGGCAAGGATCTTACCTGCTTGACCATCCTCAGAGGAGACAGGATGGCCACGGGAAGAAGCCCACAGAGCACAGGGGCAGGGCTGCCTCATACCTGCCGCAATAGCCCCTATCAGTGGCTGGATCACCAATACGAAGGGGTAGTTCCAGGCCCCGATAACCAGCACCACGCCCAGCGGCTCATGGTGGATGTAGGCCTCATCCGTCAGCGTCAGGATGGTCTTTTCCACAGGCTGGGGTGCAGCCCACGACGGCAGTTTGTCTGTGACCAAGGCAAGCTCCCCCAGGAGTCCCAGGATCTCATGATTGTAGGCACTGTACTCGTTCTGAAACAAGGCAGCTCGAGGTGAGCGCCGAGGCAAAGGTGCAGCTCGCCGCCCAGGAGAAACAGCACGAGATCAAATGCTGCAGAGGGAGAAACAGCCCGAGGACAACACGCAGCAGGACCCTGGCTGCTAGTCAGCCGCCCCCAAAGAAAAGAAAGCAAAGCAGAAACTGAAGGAAGGGGAGAACCGAGCCACTGGCACATGCAATGCTCAGCTCCCTATGCCACGACTCCTCGCTAGGGGGATTTTAAAGTGCCCCTTGAGCAAAGCCCTAGTTGAGACAAATATTTAGAGGCCAAAGCCTCCCGTCTTAAAAAACCCCGAGGCTTCTCGGTGCCTTTTGCCAGGGAACGACACAACCCCGTTGCACAGAAAGAGCGCGTCACACGCGGTTTGCAGACAGCAAGGACCTTTTTGATGTCTGCATTGATGGCTGCTAGGATTTCCCTCTCCCGCTCCTTGATCATGCGCTCCAGGGCCTTCAGCTGCTGGATCCTGAACTCCACCGCCCGCGACCGGCCAGAGCCGAAAGCAGCTCTTGCTCGCTCCACGGTCTGCTCCACCTTGTCCATCGTGCCGGACGCTGCAGCGAGAAAGGCAACCTCAAGACACCGCTCTGCCCAGCGCGGTTCAGAGACCTGTACATGCTGCTGCTGCTGCGTTTCGGTAGCCTTTAAAAGCTCGACCGGCGACCACCCGCTCCCACCCTTCAGGAGGAACAACCCAGGGCGGGCTCCGGCACGTGTCTCGGTCACGTAAGCGGCTTTGAGGAGCGGAAAGAAACCGCGCAGAGACACGATTTCGGAAAAATCCCGCCGAAAGACGGGTCTACGGCAAACGGCGCTCGAGCCCAGACAGCAAAGAGCGCAGGACAACCGGGGGCCAAAGACCCAACGGAGCAAAAAGCAGGTTCTTACGCGAGGGCCTCGCAGGGCAGCCGAGGAGAGGGCAGGTGGGTCCGCTGCAGCGGGCGGACGGGCGGAGACGCCGAGCCTGTTGTGAAGGCAGGGAGGTGTCCCCAGCACTGGCAGCCGGCCCGGGGGAGGAGTCGGGGCTGTCCCTGTGCCGGGGCGGAGCTACCCTTCTACACTCCTAGCCCTTCTGGACGCCTGCAGATGCGCTGCTATACTTTCTTCCATGTTTATACACATTTCTTAGCCAAACAACCCCCCAGAAACAAAAGGACAGAGAAGGGGCGGCGGAATGGGAGGGCTCCTCCAGCCCCAGCCGCCCTGAGGGGGGAAGAGCGGGGCAGGGGTTGTTCCCAAGCGGCTCCGGCCGCAGCCCCGTGTGAACCGCGCCTTACCGTATTTCCGCCGCACGCCACGGCCGGCGGCACCTCCGCCTTCCGGGCCACGTGACGCGCGGTTCCGCTTGCCCCCACTCGGGCAAACCCAAGAGGAGCGCGGACCCCCCCCGGCCGCGCAGTGGGAGGCGCCGGCAGCTGCGCACTGCAGGGCCGGGCGCAAACGGGCCGCCGCGGCCCCGGGTCGGATAAGAGCCAGGCGCCAGGCCGCCGCGCCCTGAGCCTGTGGCTCCCGCGGCCCACGGGGAAGCGGATACCCAGCCCGCTCAGGGGTCCTGGACCAGCTCCCGCTCCTCCAGGCCCGGGGGGACCAGGTTGCAAATGCTGCAGCTGGGCTGGGGAGATGGGAGCATCTCACACCTCGCGGCACGCGCCGCGGGCTGCGACGGACACAGCGCGACAAGAGCCGCCGCGCCTCAGCACGACGAGCCGACGGGCTTGGTCTGGGGCCGCAGAGCAGGGGCTCCAGGCGGAGCTCGGGGGCGGAAAGATGGCAAGACCTGACTTGCCTTTCTGCCCGGAGCCCCAGGGGCCAGGTCATCTGCCCCGCTGCAGCCAGTGCTTCTGCGGGAGGAAAAGCGCAAGCCGTCCCCAGTCAGCCCACGGCCTAGTGCCAGGAGCCCCCCCCCCCAGGCACAGGCAGGGCACAGAGGAGAGAAGAAACAGTAACGACCGCTGGCATGCGGAGTGGGGGGCACCTGCCCCTGCCGAGAGCCATCTCACCTGCCCCGGCTGGCAGGAGGCCGGGGGCGCTCCCTACGTGGGTCGTGTGCTGCCAGCACGCAACTCACCCACGGCCCTTGGAGAGCGTTTTTTACCCAGTCTCTAAGAAACGCAAAAGGAAGAAGGGGGCTGGTGGTCCCTAGGGCTGCAATTATTGCAGCAGGTGATGGGTTTTGTCGCATTAAAATGAGCAAGAGGCTCCCCACCCCACTGGTGTCTCCTCTCCTCGGACCAATTAGCTAGACAGCAGCGTCTCCCCCATGACAAAGTCCCTGCGGGGGCTGAACTAGGAGGGCAGACCTTTCCGGGCTGCTCCCTGCCTCCCCCAAGCACACTCGACCGTGAGCTCCTGCACGATCAATCCCTACTGTTACAGGGATGAAAGCAGAGGAGAGAAAGGAGCTCGTTCTGGCAGCACAGGGAGGAGGGGAGCTGTGACCAGGGCACAAGAGCTGTGAGCCACTGTCCAGCTCTCTAGGGACTAGGGAAGGGGCCTGGCATGGGCTTAAACTGACCCCAGAGCCCATCAGCAGGGAGGAGATCCAGAAGCAGGGAGATGGGGACCTGCCTGACCACCCAGGGCAGTGGAGTAGGCAGATTCCCCAGAGGCAGCACTTTGCTCCTGTCCTGGGTTCATGGATCAGGCCCAGGCTAGGACCAGGAGGCTGTAAGCAGAGCAGGAGGGGGTGAGACCGCCAGGGGGCTGGGGTGCAGACACAGTCTCACTACGTTCCTGAGCCTACTTCAAGCTCGTACCCGCACACAGCTCCCCTTTGAGAGGATTCACTTCCGTAGTACAAAGCCCTCAGAAGGTGCTGGCCAGGCCTACGGCAACTCCACGCACTCCCAACTGGAAGGAGTCCAGCAAATACCAGTCAGTATCTTTAGGGATGCTCCAAAAACAAGGGGCATTTATCCTCCAAGGCTAAGGCCAGAAGTCCCCCATAAACCGATGTAAGTGACCAGAAACCAGTTCAAATCTGTAACACAACAGAAGATCAGTGCACATAAACCTCTTCCAAAAGGGCCCAAACCAGTTTAAGATAAAGCTGGATAGGTGTGGTATTAGACTTCACTGATTTAGAAGTTCAATAAACTGATTTAACCTGTCTCAGATCCCCTCCAGATTCAAGTTAACTCACAGTCCCCCAGCATCTGAGCCTGCTTTGCACCTCCCCAGCAACCCCCTTGCAGGTTGGGTGGGCTAGCTTTGTCTAGCTCCAGCCCAGAGGTGTGCCTCTAGCACCTGGATTCTGGCCTGGACCGCTACAGGCATGGGGCTACATGGCCAGGATCAAAAGTGAAAGTCTGTTCATTTGCTTATTAGCTCAATCCACCCAGCTTGGGCTCACCCATAAAGATCAAATTGCTTTAGCCTTGACCTTTTTGACTGTCTGTACAAGTCCGTTGTGGCTGCAGTCAAGAGTCACAAACCCAGAGAGGAACACAAAAAAAAACCCAACACAATTTATCAAGGAAATGCAGTTTCAAACCACCCTGCTTCAACATGCCAGATAGTGTGGGAACATGGAGGTAAAAGCAGGCAAGAAATAGCTTTCCAAAGGCCTGCCAGAGTGCAAGGGGTTTCAGTGAATAAATGCAGCTCAGTTTGTTTCACGGAGTCACGTGTCTCGAAGGCGGTGGCTGAGCTGATGTTTGCAAGAGCAGAATCCTGTCATGCAGAGCTCCGATCTGTGGGCTGCATTGTAGACATCGCTGGAGCAATGGAAAATGTGAAGCAGCCCAAGAAAGAAAAAGAATAAGAGCGACTGGCTGGGACAAGCCTGGGGAGCAGTTTGCTTTCAGCTGGGGGGTTAGGGTCAGCTGCCCACAAAAGGCTTAAGGTAAGGTGTCTGTACAGAGGCAGCACCCATGGCTAGCGACGCGGGGGCCAAACTGGCTTAGAGACTTCCACCAAAGGCCATCACGCAGAAATACATCCCCTGGCTAGCGGGCGTAACTGCCAAAGCGCAGGCCAAGTGTGTTTTTCAATAAAAGACTTCAGCCAAAACCCAAGGACTTCAACAAAATCTTCGTCCCATTGATGTGGTTAAGGAAGTGTTGCCCATTAGGAGACAGGCTACCAGGAGATTTCAGAGGAGAGGGGAGGAAAGGGGAAGAAGGGTAACGAGGAACTAAGGTGTACATCAGCCTGGCAGTCCACCATTCAAAACACTGGTGGGCCCTGGAAACAGCCATGTTCTGCTTCCCTGGCTCTGGTTCCTGCTCCTTTATCAGCTCTGCGAGACAAGCTATTTCTCTGCATTGCAGTGCGACCTCACAGGACCACAAAAGACGACAGCGCTTCCAAACTGGGTCCCATTAGGATGCACCTGTACTTCTGGAGCCCAGCCCAGACAGGCGGAGAGCGAAGCTGTCTCTCACAACGGAGCGATTACAACATCAGCCTATGTGAGGTAAGGAGAAGCCAAGTGTGGGACACAAAACCAAGGGACAGCTCCCTCTCCTCCTCAAAGTGCAAGAGGAAGAACTGGATCACATTTTTCAAAAGGACTGATTGAATGACTAATCCAGACCTGAAACTGGGAGCGGCAGAGAGACCCGTTCACTGAAGAAAAAAAAAAAACACTCTGGGAAACCTCAGCAGTGGGAGCGGAAGGGGGAAGACCCACTTGAAATGATGAAATCCCCGAGTGGAGACTGACTTTATGATTTGAGAAGCTCAATCCCCAAAGTGAAAACCACTTTTTTCTGGTTTTTGCCAATCTTGCAGGGGACACTGCACACAATGGAGACAATACAAGATCCAGTAAGTACCGAACACAGTCCCCTCAGGCTAAACAGGTGCAGCTGGGAAGTTTTACTGAAGGGGTTAAGTGTTTTTTTCCCCCTCTTACTGTTCAATGCAGAGAGCACTGGAGCTGGAAGACATCTCGGGGATCTCTGTCGAAGGAGATGACAGAGTTGCACGCAGCCTTTCTGGTCGTCTCCTCCTGAAAACAGCTCACAAGAATAGCCCTTTCTTCTTGCTCCTGTTTGTACAGCTGTAGACTTGCTGGCAGGAGCAGAGAGGAGATTCAGAGAAAGGAGGCAGTGAGTTCTTGGGGAAAAGCTGCCTATCTCCTGGAGTTTTGCATCAGAGCCTTCATTTTGTTTCCAGATTAATGTCCGGAGAGTTTGGCGGCGCTCCCTTCTCCTCCCACTTGAGTTGCCTTTTATTGGGATGTGCCAGCTCCGAAGAGATGTTTTCCTTTTCTGGGAGAGGCCCCAAAAAATCCTGATAATATGACTAGGAGAAAACAAGAGCCCTTTCCCTTGCCACACGGCTCAGCTGGGGAAGCAGCTCGCTGGAAAGACTGACCTTTAGCAGCATTAGCAAAGGGAAAGGTCATTTGCATCCAGCTCCATCAATCCACTGTCCATCGCACCAGTTCTGGCAAGTCCAGCAGCGAACCTTGCTGCTAAAAGCAATTAGGCAGCACCTCACTCAGCAGCGCACAGCGGTTATCCAGAAATCTGGTTTGAAAACAAATGCTAAGCAGTCAGAGTGATGGGGGAGAAAGCAAGCAAGCAGCCTTGGCTTAAAGAGAATGAACTTACCTGCTGCGAGTGGCAGCGTCCAGTTTAACCCACTGCAGCCCTCGGACATCAGTGCAAGCTCGTCAGGCGGCTCCCTGCTCCTGGAATCGCCTCTCGGTCTAGGAAGAGAGTCCCGTCTCTCTCCTTGCCTCATTCACTTCCTTCTTTTAACCAACGATTCAGAGGTTTTCAAAAGGTGACACAGCTGGCCCCCAGGTAGAAGAGAGGCACCAAGGCTGTACCACAGAAACACTTCTAGTATCAGTTTATTTTACCTTAATATACATTTATACAGGCCATAATAAAAAGGCTATTACACAACAGTTCAGTGAGTTATTACCTAGTTTCAAGAATGCATGCAGTTACAAAGGAGA